TTGTCGCACAGTGTGTGGAAAAAGTGTGCGGCAAAGGTTTTTGCCGCACAGTGTGCGGAAAAGGTGTGTGGAAAAGGTTTTGCCAGACACCGGAAAAAATTTTGCTACACACTGGAAATCAAAATTCAAACCTATTTTGTACCTATTTTCCTCACACATTGCGAAAAAACTTGTACGCAACTCGTGCGGGACGATTTCCCGCACTCGTGTGATAGACTCGCACTCGTGGCCGGTGACGGTAACTCGTACCTTGCGATCACACTCGTGCTACGCACTCGTGTGCTCAACTGGTACTCGTTCCCGTCAACTCCGGCACTCGTGTGAGTCAATCACTACTCGTGCGGGAAATTGTCTTTTTCGCACTTGTTACGTAAATAACTATTATCATTAACTGCGTGTGTTAACTAAATTCATAAATACGAGGAGTACGTCAACTAACAATAAAAACTTATAATTAAGTACGGTATAGGAAAACACTCATCTTTCATATAAAATTTGAAATATTACTCAATTTCGTCATCTTTCCCAATACAGCTTACTAGTAAGTAGATCGTATATAAAAGACTTGATTTGCCCAAAAATTGGATGTAAGATTTTTGACTGAATAGAAATAACGAATTGTCAATAAAGAGATGGTAAACTTTAATTTCTACATTCAAAATTTTAATTTCCAAAGTACCAAAGAGTCGATACCACTGTTTAATTTGACTTTCAGTGGTAAGTGCACAGATATTTGTTAGAAGTACTTTTATCAGCTAAATCTTGTTGACATCCGTGTTTTTTGTACTAGAAGGATCACTCGTTAATATTTGCATATATATATCTCTTGAAATCACCACTTTGGCCAAAGGTTTTTCCATATTTAGGATTATTGAAAACAAGTGGACACTCATCAATCTGGGTAGGTATGTGTCTCTGAAGATTACCACTTTGGCCAAAAGTTTTTCCACGTTCAGGTTCCTTGCACTCATAGGAACGCATTCCAGTGCGTGGTTGCAGGTGTATTAAGAGTGTAGTTTGTTGAATGACTGCTTTTTCACATCTATAGGTTCCTTGCACTTGTAAGGTCGTTCACCAGTGTGGGTACGCGTGTGTTTTTGGAGGACACCATATGAACGAAAAGCTTCTCCACAATCAAGTTCTTTGCACTTGTAGGGACGCTCGTCAGTGTGGGTACGAGCGTGTCTGTTGAGATCACCACTTTGTCCAAAAGCTTTTCCACATCCGGGTTCCTTGCACTCGAAGGGACGTTTGCCAGTGTGAACACGCAAGTGTTTTTTTACATAATGTTTGAAGGCAAAGTCTTGTCCACATTCATCACATTGGTAGGGAAACTCAACGGTGTGCAAACTCACGTGCCTTTTGAGATTACTCAGTTGAGTAAAAGCTTTCCCACATCCAGGTTCGGTGCATTTGTTGGGATGTTCGCCAGTGTGGGTACGCGTGTGTTTTTGGAGGACACCCTGTGAACCAAAAGCTTTTCCACAATCGGGTTCTTTGCACTTGTAGGGACGCTCGCCAGTGTGTGTGTGCAAATGTAATTGCAAAGAACATTTTACAGTAAAAGCTTTTTTGCATCCACGTATGTTGCACTTGTAAGGGCGCTCCCCAGTGTGTTGTCGCACGTGTGTTATGAGATAACTTTTGAATGGAAACTGTTTCTCACAAAATTGGCACTTGTGACGAAGTCTTTTGTCGAGTTGTTTCTTTGCCGCCATGAAACGAGGTTTTCTGGTAAACTCCTCTGGTAATGATAAAACGTGTCTGTGCAGTCAACACCAGTATTTTTTATTACTTGTGATTATAGTCCATTTGGGCTTTGGAGATAATTTATTCTATAACTGGAGATTCAACTGTTGCAACAGGACAACGTGAGTGTAAAATAAATTGAGCTGAAAAAGGGTTGGAAAAATTTGAGTTATAAAATATTTTGCAGCATAACTTTAATTTAATAATATTGTATGTAGGAAAAATCAAACTGCCTGTTAACGGAAATTATTGTACAGCTAAAAAAAATGATAAAATATCAATTATGCCGTAAAAAAATGTATGAATCGATCTGCCTCCATTTCTCAACAANATTTAATACATCGGATATACGATAGATTTTCAAAAATGCATCTAAAAAAAGAATATTCATTGCAAGCAATACATGTCATGAAAAATTGATAGTCACACTAACATACTAGTTATTTCTTAAAGGTATTGATGCTTATACATATAATAAAAAATAAACAAAATTAATTAGCAAAGCAACTAATAACTACTGAAAGTCATAACTAGATTATAAAATAATTGAGACGGTGTTATACGTATGTATAAATAAACCTCAAATTTTATTGCGGACATTGACATCATCCTGCGTGCACATGTCGAAAAAATGGCTCGTTTTTCTTGCTACCGTACAAATAAACGTATTAGCTTCTGGAATAACATTAATTGACTGATGATGCTCTTTTTGACTTGTGCACAATTTAAACAATATATTTTTTGCTATGCGTATTATATTGCATTTTCATAAATATATTTGAATTTATAACAATAATTTAATACTAAAAAAATACTATTCAAATCATAGTAAATAAAGAAATTAGTTTACGAATCTCCTGTATCGTGCTCCTAGCAGAAGAAACCACTTACGTTAGTCGTCTAACAGATCTGCAGAGTCGATGAAAATTAGATTGACTACTTGTCGGGTGTCAATTATGAGAAAGTATGAAAGGAGGCAAAGATGAAATTTTTCGTATTAGATGTTAAATTAGATTACGTTATATTTAAATGTTCTTCACCCCCCCCACGTAATTAATAGTAATCAAATAAGATATTCCCCCTCCCCCCAGGGTTTTTACGTAATTAATGGACAACCCCTTGGGGTGTTCTGAACCGAAAATTACTCTTACCTTTCTATTGCAAAGTTCAGGAAAATTAAAATTTAACTTGAACCAATCCACGTGCAATTTTTACATTCTAAAGACATTAGAAATAACACTTAAATGTCACTGGTACCGGAACAAACAAACATGGTAAAAACTATTTGAAAAACAGTCATTGTATCCTTGCAAATACAGTTTTGATTATTTCAAATTCATATTTTCTATGATCCAAAGCGATGATAAGAATAGAATCTTAACTGACTCCATTTGTCAACAACTTCTGGCCTATTCTTACACAGAAGAACGTGGACGAGTAGTATGTATACACATGCCCAGCACTGCGTATACACTCACCACCACGGACCGCTTTCTCAGCATCGTCACTCCAAAGATTTACTCGCACATTAAAACGGCAACGTTGACTATACGGCCAGTATACAGATACAGTATGCATTTAGTATTTGCTTCGTGCAGCAATTTGAAACAAGGCCATCTGCAGGGGAAAAGTTATTGATGCTAACTAACAATAATACACGGAGTCTCATGGACAATGATCTGTTACAAGCATTTATTTCAACAATAATAAATATTTAACAACTAATAAGATATACGGAGGTGGTCCCATTGCCTATGTTGTCTACAGTAAATGTTTGTGATCATTTTGTGTCACTTCTGCCTTCTCACACCAGGTGTCGCATAGGAAACGAACACCGAGCAGACGTAGTATATATGGTGGTATCCGCCAACACTAGTAATGTAACGATATATGGTAACGTTGGTCAATACTAGTAGTATAACTATATATGGTGGTGTTCGCTAGCACTACTAGTATAACTATATATGGTATTCGACTCTCGTTCGCCATCTGCTGGAACTTAGATGAAACAGCACAAATATTTCACAAAAAATATGCCTACATGGGACCACCTGTATATCTTACACCGTGCGTATGGTACTGACCATCACTATGTATATATAAACTGTTTGACCCCCCCCCCGGCAAAGAATTTTTCTCTCCATGTAGGTGTACTTATTTACTCATCTTTATATGGATGTGCCTGTATACTTACAAGCACAAGAAGTTTCTGTTTCTGCAAAATTTTTTTTGGAAATAAAAATTTTTTTTTAATGTATGCACAACGTTAGCCTTAATTGTACTAATAATTTATTACCATGTAAGTTAATGTGCTGGACAGTACCTGTAATAGCTTGGCACGAGACTAAGGGGAAACGATTATTTATGGCGTATTTTTGACTCCAAAACAAAAAAACTGTGATACCCTAAATATAAAGAAAAATTAAAAAATTCGTATGACACAGATATAGAGCGCATCAAACCTAAAAAGATTGAAAAAAATCTGTCAATGGTTGTATAATTTTTTTTCAAGAATTTTTTTTATGTCTTACAATGTGAAAAAGATCAAATGAGTATGAATTTCACTACAAAAAAAAAAAGTTTTTTAACTCAAAATTTTCTGATCCACTGAAAAATAAATTGATTTGACTTTTCTTGTATACATTTTAATATTATTAAAATAATTACAAGTTTTTTTTTCACTTGATTATTGAATAATTAAAGTGCTAACTATCTCATCTAACAATCGAACTCTTATTTGTAAAATAAAATTAAAATTTTTAATACACATACAGTTAATTGGAGACTACAAAAAACGAACAGAAGAAACAGCACTTGTGTGAGTTACACCACTTCAACGAGAAATTTCTCAGAAAAAAATGATGAATAATTAAACAATTAAGTTAAGCAATTAATGCGTTTGATCACGTAAAATATTAATAACAACACAGAATTTTGTACATCGTATATGAGCTAATTATTAATTAATAAGCTATTATGAGGAATGCACGTGCTCTGATAACAAGGCTATTTTGTCGAAATTTCACTATTATATCCGTATCATTATTTCATAGTAAGAGAGTTGATTTTCATGATTTTCCATACGAAACCATGTAAAAAATGAAAAAAAACCAATTTCATTAAATCTTTCATTAAATCCTTGATTCGAAGGAAGCCAAAAGTATTGAAACTTCACATGAATTCTAATGATTATCACTTTATTGACTTGTATGTAAAGTTTTAATCAAAACTGACTGTTAATTCTTTTTCGTGTGGTACCTCCTTAAGATTGTATTTTCTGTATTCTCACAATGAATATGCAGCACTAGTAGAAGTTTCAACTGATATCTTTCTAAGTATATTGTATTTTTTTCGATATTTATTTTTATAACCTACTTTTTATTTTTTTTTTATTTGCTAACTTTTGGCAAAAAAAACCTTTTACTTATAATATGCACAACAATATGAATTACGTTAAATTTTTGTGAACAAAGGAACTAATAACTACTGAAAGTCATAAATGGGTTTTGAAATAATTGAGACGGTGTTATACGTATGTACAAATAAACCTCAAATTTTATTGCGGACATTGACATCATCCTGCGTGCACATGTCGAAAAAATGGCTCGTTTTTCTTGCTACCGTACAAATAAACGTATTAGCTTCTGGAATAACATTAATTGACTGATGATGCTCTTTTTGACTTGTGCACAATTTAAACAATGTTGCACATTTTTCTCCAGAGTAGTATTTAATAAAAAAATGCATACCCATCATTTAAGCCAAGAATGCGGTAGAGGGTAATGTATATTCGTTTCAGTGACGATCGTATGAAAAAAATGCTTCAATATTCAACAGTTTACGCTTGAAGTCATGGGAGTTTTGTGATAATGATTATGATATAATACACGCTCATGAGTTGTACGGCTCAATTGGAGGATTCCTCTTGGATTAAAAAAAGCATTAATAAACCAATAAATGCGTTTTATTACATCAAAAATAACAAGAGCAGTTAATCGTTTGTATACTTTGTACTTATGAGCTGATAACCGATTATTTATTTACTACGAGGAATATGCGTATGCTCGTGACAAGAGGATACTCGTAAGCGATCGAATTTCTCCTTCTTCAGTAATTAATCGGAAGACAAAGCCAATCTGCTTTAATATTTGATCAGCAACGAGGTATTGTGTTTACAAAAAAGTAGGTGTATGCACAGCGATGACCGCGTTAATCGTCTCTCACGGTAGTGGTATATCGCGGTCAGCGGCCTACTGTCCGTGTAAATACGTATCGTATCAGTTGACTGTATGACAAAGGAGAAAAAATAACCATATCGCACCCTCGTATGTTTATAATATACATCAGAAGTGCATGTCACTGGGTTGTCACCATCAACGTTTATAAATTCGAAATTAATTTGTCGTTGTAGCTCGCGCAAGTTATCCGGTTAAATAGGGTAAAAGAAACAGAAAAGCAAAGAGTGAACGACTGGTTGTAGTGTGTCATGTCGCGGTGACCTCCTTTTTTTTGTCTTCGCTTGTAAATTGACTTTGTTCGATTTATTTGTGTATACATGTCCATGTATTTCTTTATGACGTTCGATACAAAGATTTTTTAAATAGAAGTCGGTTTTATGTATATCGTAAATCAATGTATATACAGTACCCAAAATATATACAAAGTACATTTATGGTGTATTGATTCAGACGCATAATATTGAAGAGACGTGTATATGTAAATTTTAGATTGATGTCGAATTAAATTTATAGTTTTTACGTATACACGAGGAAAGGCTAAAGGTTTTAATTTGTATAGGAGCTTTGAATGTTTACATATTTAAAAAGTGGATAATAAAAAATTTTACAATTTTGTACTTGGTATTATTTTAAACATCACTTTACTTGATAATATGTAAATTTCACAAATAGTTTTAAATGGTTACAAGATACTTGAATTAATAAAATTTGTAAAGTCCAAGTATTTTGTTTATTGATGCGTGACATTTGTAAATTGTAAATTCTTTTTAAAATCCT